TGGAGACCTTACTCAACTACTTTAACTTCCTTATGGCCTTATTTTGTCAACTGTAAGGTAGCAATAAGCAGGAAGTGGTAATGAGGTCTACCATGTGGAGCCGTATGAAGAGTACATTGGATAATGTGTACAAGCCATCAGGACAGTGCCTGGGGCCTAGAACATGCTCAGTAAGTGATCTCCAGCACTAGCAGTCATGATACAAGGGAGCTGTTGAGCAAATGAATGTTGATGAAATAAACGAAAGAATGAATTAATTAATGCATGATTGATGGGGACTGGATTTGGCAAGCCTGGAAAAGCAACAAAGAATGGAGACTCCATCCAATGGGCAAATGGGAAGATGTTCAAGATAGGAGAAGGGCTTCTAAGACTGAGTGGTCAGAACATATGGCAGATCTGGAGTCTGGCATCTTCTTGGCTCAGCTTCCAAAGCAACCCCTAGAAAGGCTTCCCCACCCACAGCAGCCTGGGTACTGGCTGTGCACCTGGGATCTAGAGTCAGACTGCCTGGGTTCAAGTACTTACTAGTTGAGTGGTCTTGGGTGAGTCATTTAACCTCATTAAGCCTCAGTTTTCTCTTCTGAAAAATGAGTATAATAATAGTACCAACATCATAGAGTTGTTGTGAGAGTTGAACATGATATCGTGCATAAGGCAGATAGCTCGATGCTTTAAACATACTGAGCGATCTCTAAACGTTAGCTCTTTGTCTCATGGCACGCAGCTCTGCTAAGTTATCGCCGGCTGGGAGTTTTCGGGCAGACCAGCATCAGGATGCTCTAGTACCGGATCCAAATAGTACAAAATCGCTGCCTACTTGCCGCTTGTGTGCAGGTGCTTCTCAAGGATAGATGCTGTACACTTGAACCCTGGGACATAGGTATCATTGTGCCCATTTTGCAAATGAAGAAACTGAAGGTTAGTGACACATCAAAGTTATACAGCTATCAAGCCTCAAAGCCTAAATTCAAATTTAGCCCTAATTCCAAACCCATGGTCTTTCTACTACTACAAAACCACACCTGGACTTCCCCAAGAGGCTGCCTAAAGACCTCTCCAAACAGGGTTCATCCAGGGGCAGTCACAGAGGGCCAGGCTCTTTCATGGTGTCACTGTGTCACATAACACATCAGAGGGGATATGGCTCCAAACTCAGAGTCTGGAAGAGGGAAGTCATAGGTGGGCTGGGGGCAGGATGGTGGATGCAGCAAGACATTAGGCTCTTGGATTCTAACACTGCTCTCTCCTTGCTAATAACAATTATGTCTGTATATTGCGTGTCTGTGTGTCTGTGTGTGTTTTGGTAGAGAGGCGAGGGGCATGGGAGAGGAGGGGAGACAAAGACTTTCCTTCCCAATCCAAAAATGGTTACCTAAACTAAACACAGAGGGAGAACAAGTGAATGCAATACAAAATTCACGTCAGCTCTTAGAGACCATTTTCTTCATCGAAAAGCAGCATTCTGGCCCATGAAACAACACAGCAAGATGAATCCCTTTTATTTCCTCCCAGGTCCACCTCCTTAAATGCCAAATTGTGGCCTTCTTTCGTCCTCCTCCCAGACACCAGCTGTGACTCTGCTAACGGCCAAGGAGATCCGTAGACCCATAATGCCTCTTCCTGAGGATTCGAACTGTGTCATGAATAAACAGACAGAAGTGTGGTTGGCCTCCTGTCTTCCCTCGAGAGCTTCTAACAAAGATTCCTAGAGTCCAATACTACCTTGGACATCATCCGCTCACCCCTTTGGTTCAATTGGCGCAAAGAGCCACCTGGATGCTCTCAGCCCAAACAAAGACAACACAGCCTGATTGGGATTCTGAGTTTTTATAACAATTACTAACAACTCTCTCTCTCTCTCTCAAGTCTTATATTTACCTGCAACAGGCCATGTTACCTCCAGCTGACCCCACCTGCCAAAAATATAACTGCATTTTCATATTTATCATCTTTGTGTTCCACAGTTGCCATGGTAGTAAAATGTACACTCAACAGCCTCACTGCCACGCTCAACTACAAATGGAATTAGTCTATCCCAGTTTGGTTCAGCAAAAAAAAGAACTGTGCATCTACTAGATGCCAGGCTCTGTGCTGGGTATAAGGGCCGGGTGCTCAGACAAATCAGAAAGGGATTTCTGTAAGATTTTGCTCCTTTACAAAGCAGAATTTTTCTCTTGTGATGAGATTGCTTTTTTAGAAAATTGTGGTAAAATATATATACATACAATTTGTCATTTTTCAGTGTACAGTTCAGTGGCATCAAGTACATTCACAATGGTGTGCAACCATCTGCACTAGCTTTTTTTTTTTTATTTTTGAGGAAAATTAGCCGTGAGCTAACTACTGCCAATCCTCCTCCTTTTGCTGAGAAAGGCTGGCCCTGAGCTAACATCTGTGCCCATCTTCCTCTACTTTATATGTGGGACGCCTACCACAGCATGGCCTGACAAGCGGCGCCATGTCCGTACCCGGGATCCGAACCGGCGAACCCCAGGCCACCGAAGCCAAACGTGCACACTTAACCACTGCGCCACCCAGCCGGCCCCTGCACTAGCTTTTTACAAAAGGTTATTATCACCCCAAACAGAAACGCTGCACCCATTAAGCACTGACGTCCCATTTCCCACTCCCCCCAGCTCCTTGGAACCTCTAATTTACTTTCTGTCTCTATGAATTTGCCTATTCTGCACATTTCACAAAAGTGGAATAATGCAATATTTGTCCTTTGTGTCTGGCTTATTTCACTTAACATAGCATTTTCAAGGTTCATCTTTCTTGTAGCACGGATCAGAACGTCCTTCCTTTCTAAGGCTGATTGACGTTCCATTGTAGGAATATACCACATTTGATTTATTCATTCATCAATGGGCACTTGGGTTGTTTCCACCTTTTTGGCTATTGGGAATAATGCTGCCATGAGCATTGACATACAAGTATCTGTTTGAGTCCCCGCTTTCAATTCTTCTGAGCGTAAACTTAGCAGTGACATTGTTGGCTCATACGGTAATTCTACGCTTAACTTTTTGAGGAACTGCCATACTGCTTTCCAGAGTGGCTGCACCATTTTACCCTGCATTTTAATTTCTCTACATCCTTGCCAACACTTGTTATTTTCTTGTTTTTTTTTTGTTTTGTTTTCTTGATTATAGCCATCACGGTAGGTGTGATGAGGTCATTTTTTGTAAGAGCAAATTGGTGAGGTAAGAAATGACCTGTTCAGCAGAGCATCACAGGCACACGTGGGGGTACTGAGCACAGCTCTGTCGAATGAATGAACGAATGAACGGGCTCTCCTGTTTATGGCACTGTAGTACGCCCTTGGACTTGATGTCTGCACAACTCTTCCCTGACTCTCCTGTGGACAGGATTTGGAACTCACATGAGGAAGCCCAGCCCCCCCAAAAGAGCTCCAGGCAGCAACTGAAATCAACTATCCTGGGGCTTGAATTCAGGGACCATCTGCACCATCTTTCTGCATTTGTTTCCACACTTAGGAATCAGTAAAACCTGCTGATTTGGAATCAGGGAAGCCCACTTGGTAGCACCTCAAAAGTAAAAAGACTACAAGCTACAGAGTGGGGTGGTTAAGACACCAAAGCTGTGAGTCAAACAGACTAGCCTGAACTTCAGGTCTACTTTTTGTCACATGTGTGACCATGGCAAATTATTTATCCTCTCTGTGCCTCAACTTGGACCTAACCCTATTTTTGTGAGAGGATTAAATGAAGCAATAAGAAGCATTTGGCACAGTGCCTGTTACAAGGTGAGGTCTCGGTGAAAGTTAGCTCTCACCATAATGAAGCTCCAGCATTAGTGCACGGACTCAAATAACCTCCACCCCTTCAGCTACTTCCTCTGATCCCCAAGACCCTGGGAAAGCAGGAGGGGCTCCAAGATGAGGACAGAGTCATCACCTAGTTTCCTAATGATCTTCCAAGCTGACTGGAAGGACCAAGAATACCCATCCACACTCACAGGCCGGATTGGAGACAAAAACTCAGCCCCGTTTCTTCTGGGTCATGCCACCAGTCTCTCCAAGCTCATTTTGACAAATGGTTTGGGGAGAGAGCAGGGCCATCACCGTGGCTCTCCCTCAAAGACCCAGAACGCAAACCCTAAGAAGTCAGAAAGAACTTTCACTGAAACACACTGATGAGACTGGAGTTGGGTAGAGTTTCTGAAGAGAAGGTTGACTGACAAGCCAAAAATTGAGCAAGAACAGCAGGGGGCTGCACACGAGGATCTGAGGGAAAGCACAGAAGGAATGAGCTATGAGGCCAGGCAGGGTGGTGTTTCACGCTGGCAGCACCACAATTCTCATGTGCATAGATGGGAACAGCATTCGGCTTGGCCTCACAGGTATTAGCTTGTGTTAGATTGAAGCATATTAAAAATATTAAAGTCCCATGGAATAAAAATGAGCTCCTGGGCCCAACACTTCACCTATAACTTAAAAGTTTTCCTGCACATGGAAATCCTCAAACCAAAAGCCAAGCCACTGGGGATGAAGGGAGGAGTATTACCCAGCAGGCACCTGCAGATGTGTGGGGAGCCGCGGCTGTGACCGGATAATAACAACAGATGCTATTTACTGAGCACTGTGCTAGGCACTGTCCACACACTGTCTGCTGACAGGTACAGCAGCAGCACGTTAGGACGCCAGCCCCATTTTACAGAGGAGGACACTGAAGTTCAGAGTTAGGAACTTGCCAAAGAAGGTGAGAGAAGGAGAAATTTCTGTGACTTATGCATCATATGTTAGGATGAACTCTACGAAATTACTATTCTACCTTTTCTACCAACAAAAATGACAATTCCATAGGGTTCAACCTAATACAATGCATTATATATATCATTTATATAGTAATTATTTTAGACACATAAATTTCATAGAAATAAAAAAATACATATGTATTTTATATACATAAATTTTATATACATGCATTTTACATAAATACATAATTTATATATAAATTATATCACACATAAATGTCCTATTTTATTCACTGATTACATAACCTCATCTATGCATTATATAACATGCACAAGAGGCAGAATGCTTCGTGGTTGGGAACGTGGATTATCGACTCAGACTGCAAGGGAAACTTGGCTCAGCCACTTACTAGCTATGGGACACTGAGTAAATAATGTACCCTCTCCGTGTCTTTGTTCTTCATCTATAAAATGAGCTAATAATAGAACTACCCTCAGAAAACACAAGCAACGTGCCACAAGAGTGCCTGGCACACATTCCATATTACCAGTCACTGGGCACGCCTTTGTTCGCTAATTCCTTGCAACAACCCTTGGCAATAGTCAACGCTGCCTTGATTTCACAGCGAGAAGCCCAAGACACGGAGGTCTGCCCAGGATTACACATCGAGCAACGATACATCAGCAATCCAAACTCAGGTCTTTCTGAGGCCCAAGCCCTGCTGTTCTCGCTAAGCTGCCAGCTTCTCCTGGTATCTTTCTGAGCCTTCACGTGTCATTTGGTGAAAGGGCCAGCTGATTTTATGATTCCTTCCAGCATCCTAATGCAAGGGGCCTGTATCAAAGCGGCAGCAACAGAAATAACAGGCCTGAATGCTTTCACTTCCACCAAACGCAGGATCCTTAGGCATGTGGCTAGAAGCATTCTGTATTTAGGGTTCCAATTTTTTTTTTCCTTTTCTGCTATTTCTTTCCAGAGTCCTCAGTACATTTCCTAATTAATCACTCCCACTTAATTTCCTAAAGCAATCACATCCTCCCCGCAGGCGAGCGGCCTCGTCTCAGGCAGAAGCGCACACACCAGCTGGCCCCTCGGCTACGTGGGAGTGTGCGAGCAGCCCTTGGACATGGACCAACGAGCGGCACAGACACAGGAAAAACACAGCTTGGGAGCTACACTCAGAGGGCACTCTTCTCATCCTGGTGACATGTGGGTTTCCTGGTGAGCAAAAGGACACTGAGATTTGGTTCTCCAAGGAAACCATAAGATCTAGAAGCTTGGGCTAGAACATTCCAGAAAGCAGGGAGACTACCAGCAGCTCCTCTGTGATGCCAGGCAGGGCTATGCTGGCAGGTCAGTAAGGCTCAGATTCCTCTCCTAGTTTTGCTGCTTATTTGTTGTGTGAATTTGGATAAGAGCTTTCCTTTGGTTGAGCCTCAGTTTTCTCATCTTTACAGTGAGAACAGTAATATATGCAACACAGTGTTGGTGTAAGGAAGGAGCCACAAATACAACAGCCTAGAGGAACCAGGCAGACAATATCAATGAGGGAAGTCGGGCTGAGTAAAATAAAAATATCATGAGGCCAAATGGCAGCTGATACACAGTCTCAGAGTTGGAGTCACAATAGGGAGTGGCGTGGACTGCGGTGAAATGGATACATGCCTCATATAAAAGCCAGTCAATTACTGCCATAGAGCCAAGCTGACCCCCTGTTGCCAAATTTTTCAATTTTTATAAAAGAATCTAGAAATAGATTTTTATATGAATTCACCCAATCTTAAAATGTTGGCAAGAAGTTGACATTAAAAAAACAATTCCATGTAAGCCAAGCACAACACATTAGATGGTTGAATTTGGCCTACTGGCCACTGGTTTGCAAACTCTGTCATTGTAAGTATTGAGACAATGGGATATATACAGCACTTAGCCATGCACATAACACATGATAAACACTCAATAAATGTAGCTGTAGTTATTATTGTTACGATTAACTTCTCTGTAACTCAGAATGCCCATCTGTAACAATGGGTATAAGGATTCCTGATAGCTGTCTGGCTTACGGGGGGGCATCTGAGAAACTCTCTGAGGGCTCTATAGAGATTAACTACTATGCATACACAACACCTGTGCTGCTTTATTAATTTAAACACACTTCATTGAGATTGGGCTAGAGCAGTGGTTCTCAACTGGAGGTGATTCTGTCCCCCAGGGGACATTTGGCAATGTCTGGAGACATTTTTTAGTTGTCAGACTGCAGGGGGGGTGGGGTGTGCTACTGGCATCTTGTGAGGAGAGTTCAAAGATGCTGCTAAATATCTTAAAATGAACAGGATAGCACCCCATAACAAAAAAACCCAGTCCCAAATGTCAACAGTACCAAGGTAGAGAAGCCCCGGGCTAGATGGTTTCCCTTTGAGTCCTCTTTATAGAAAGGACTTTATACAGATAGAGGTTTGGATAGGTTCCTACACAGTAAGATACAGGAGATGCTGGGGTAGGGGTGAGGGGGACAGCGGATGGGGGAACCAACATCTATAATTATCTCCTCTAAGAGGCTCAAGACCCTGCTTTCACTCTGCTTCCTATAGAATCTTCTTGTCATTGTTTTAACAACTGTCACATCAACATACTTCCTTAAAAAATTCTGTTGAAGCTGCATGGATTACAAAATGGGCTCTGGGGAAACTGAGGACTTGAGAGATGAACTGAGCCAAGGTCACTCAGGGAGCTGTAGGGCAGATCTGGGAGAGAATCCTCTGGGGTCCTGGCCCAGGTCCCTCTGGAAGACATCACTCCAATTTGCGTTGCCATGGTAATTATAAATCAATTTCGTCTATCCATTAAAGCAGTTACTCCATAGAATGCTCTCACAAAGCATCGCTGAACTCGTCCTAGTTATCCATGGATGTGAAAGCAATCACATTTTTTATATTCTATAATTCTGGCTACATTTACCATTGGCCTTCACCTTCAGTGGTCTAAACAAGCTGGGTTATATTGCACCACGGTTGTCATGCATTGCTATGACTACTCCAAACAAAGAAAACTGTGGTAGAAGCAAAAGCAAGTGATTCTAGTTCACCTTAAGAAAGGAAGACACTGACTTTTATTAACCCCTGTATCATGCTAAGTGTTTTACATAACATCTCATTTAATATTCTCTATAATTTGAAGAACTTCTTCAGGTCAGTTTTCTTAATCTCTGCTGCACAGCAGAAATACATGGGAGCTGTATAAAATCACAACTTCCAGGAAGCACCCCAAAATCATCACATCAGAATCACTGCGGACAGGACCCAGGCATCGGTAATATTTAAATCTCCCCAGGTGATTCTAATGCACAGCCAAGTTTGAGAATCAGGGTTTCAGGACTCATTATCCTTATTTTACAATGATGCTGACATCCTAACGGAAAAATGAACTCGCCTAAGGGCACCCAGCTGGTGAATGGTAAAACTGTGATTCAAACTTGGGTCTAACTTTCTCCAAATGCCAGGCATAATCCTTCTCATTATGCCACTTTCTCCCCAGAAGTTTGCTGTCTGTGGCTTTCGCAGTTATTTGGTTGCAAGTTTGTGAACTTGAGCAAAAGGCAATTCACTACAAGGCTATCCGCGACTTCTGAATTCAGTGGGAGTCTTACAACTTCAGTTGGGTCTGGGGGATAGGAAAGTAGGCATGTCTGGTCATTGTACAAGTGGTCAGATGAAATGGTAGGCCATCACGTCCAATCTCTTTGTCCCTCTGGTCAAGATTCCATTTCCAGGGATGAAGCACTCAATTGACCTGGCTTGGGTCATGAGCTCATCCCTTGACTAGGAGAGGGCAAGGTCCCTGACTACAAATCCACCAGACTGTATCCTGTGCATGCAGAAGATGAGATTCTGTTGGGAAGAGACTAAATCCTGGGCAGCCCAACACAACACACATCCACTATGATGAAGGAGATGGAGGGACTTGCAAAAGCAAGAAGACATAAGACAGTCTCACAGGTACACTATGATCCTCGAGTAGAACTCAGCAAATGCCAGAAGCCCGTGTAATCAAAACCATTGAAATAGATAGGATCATTCAGAAGAAATACGATACCCGAGGAGGTGGCCATGAATGGCCTCAAAATCATTTCTAAGGACAAAGCCAAGGTATTTTATCAGTTTATCTAGATTCTTAAAAAAAGGCTAACAGGGCTTTTGGGAGATCTTAGAGAAGAAAAAGAGGACCTCCTAGTCAAGGGTTCCTATCAGAGCCTGAGGTCCCAGAAACTACCTGGAAAAATTAAACCTGGCGTCCTGGTTTGGCACCACACAGACAAGACTGGTACAGTTTGCCAAATTTGAACCAGGAAAACCATGCTTTAAAGAAAAAGCAACAACAAAAACAGACACAAGGTAAGAGTTAGCATGCTTGCCTACAGCAGCAAGGAAGAGGACAGACCCCAAAAGGAAAGGAGACATGAGGATATGTGTGCAAAATGGTCATAACTCCAGGAAGCCAGGGGGCGCTCTGGGGTCAAAAGCCAATGGAGCAATTAAAACTCAACTGCAGATGTGTTCAAATAGAGCACTGTCCCCAGTAGCTGGCCTGGGCCCTTGAGCTCCTTACCAAACGGCCAGTTCTCTATCCCATGAGAGTCTCTTCCCAGATCTAGACATCAACAGACCCTAGCATACAGGGACTTGAGAAATGAGGATATTGTGAGTTATTAGCATTAAATAAACAATTATTCAATGCACAAATTCATGGATGAATCAACATATAAACAAAAGAACTATAAATTTTAACTGCGGCTACTCAATTTTCAGGTGTATGTGTCAAGTCGCTATTATGTGTCAGGCACCAAGCTGGAAGGTTTACGCGATGTATTTCTTATCCCTACAATAACCCTAGAAGGAATTTACTATTATATCCATTTTACAGATGAGGATCCTAAGACTCAAAGAGATGAAAGGACTTACTGTAGTCACAGAACGGTAAGCAATGGGATTTGAAACCAGATCTATCTAACTTAAGCATCTGTGTGCTTGCCACAGTGCCACAATGCCACAATGCCTCACAATGCTCATTAGCATCAACTGTGTATTGGGCATTTTGCATGTATTATCCCTAATTCTTACAACAATCATCAAGCAGGTATTACTGTCTCCAATTTTTTTTGGATGAAAAAACTGAGTCTAGAAAGGCAAGTAATTTACCAAAGGGTACATTTTGAATACAGATTTTTTTAATCCAAATCTCTTTGGCTTTAAAGCTCAGAGTCTTTCCACCAAATCTCCTGATGATCTAATCCAATTTGGTCTTTAAAAATGTGTTGCCTTAGTCTTATTTTCACAAGCATTGTACTAAGCCTGTAGAGGAATGCATAGCTCCTGCCCTCAAGAAGCTTTTAATCTAGTTGAGAGATTAGTTACATAGTATAGAAAGTAACAATAACTATACGGCTGCAGAGGTTTACAAATAGGGCTGCAAAGTCTTTGGGACTTCTCCCTTCAAGAGGTGGCCCCTAGCCTTGATTCCAGGCTAGCTTGGAACATAGAAAACAGCAGAAGGGATACTTTGTGACTTCTAAGGCTAGTTCATAAAAAGCCCTGCAACTTCGTTTACAAAGTTTTGCTCTGGGTTGTTTACAGGCACAACTGTTCCTGGAGCTTTAAACCTCCATGTAAGAAGGTAGACTACTCTAAGGCCACCACGCTGCAAGGAAGCTCAAGCCCCATAGAGAGGGCACATGTGGGCGCCCGGATCAACAGCCCAGCTGAGCTCAGCCTTCGAGCGAACCAGCCCAAGTACGTGACATGTGAGTGAACAGTCTGCAGACGATTCTAGCCCAGCCATTCCAGCCTCCTCCAGTCATTCCCATACTCTCCAGCTGATGCCTCACACCTCAGGGAGCAGAGACCAGACATCCTTACTGAGCTACGTCCAAAACCCTAACCCAAAGGAGAATGGAGCGTAACAAAATGCTCATGGCTTTACAACACTAAGTTTTGAGGTGGTTTGTTAAGCAGCAATAGGTAATCAGAATAACGGCTTTTTGAGTGATTACTCAAGACCAGGCACTACACTCTAAGCCTGCCATGTGTTACCTCCCAGCAGCCCAACGAAGCAGGTGACTGTCAAAGAACATGCTCAAGATTACCTAGCTAGGGACGGCATTCCAGCCCAAGTCACACGAACGCCAGCATCAATACCCCAGACCACTCTGCTACACAGGAAGGGAAATCACATCCCTCCCCCAAGTCTACAAATCCCAAAGCCGATCAGTTTTAAGAAACGCCGACTGCTATTTTTGAAACTAAACATCGTTTTCTTTCTTAATTTCAGAAGGCTTACTGTGGAGCTGAGCTAATTATTTGAGCCTTAATCAAGGACCAGCCACTCCCCGAAGCAGCTGTCCTGGCCTCTCTATTGCCTCGAGAAAGTCCCTTGGGTTAGTTGGATGTTGGCTCAGGTCTAAACCCAGCCCCCAGAAGTGAGGATGCACAGGGCTGAAAGGATCCTTGGAGATCATCCAGTCTGTTCCCTTTATCCCCTTTAAAGACGAAGAAACTGAGGCCCAGAGAGGTCAAGTGACTTGTCCAAGGTCACACGGTGTGTTGAGAGGTACAGCCAGGTCTCCAAATTCCCAGGCAAGCATTCTTTCCACTGCACCACGCTGCAGTGGCTAAAAATTCCCCAGAGCTGCCTCCCTCGGCCCTCCTCTTGACAAAGCTGTTTTCCCCCCACACAACTACACACAGTCACATTTGGCAGGAGGTGCTATCAGCCCCGCTCTGCTCGTGAAATGCTGTTTTGCAATGGGGCCTCTTTGTTCGTTAGCAACACAGACAAAGAAAACCTCAGTGTAGTCTTCTCGGAAGGAGATGTTTCTTGTTTTAAAGACAGGAAGAGGGTTTCCTGGCTGAATATGGCTCAAATCAGCATGCAGCTCCAGTCAGGAAGGAACCCAGAGGAGATTTAGGTCTCTGCAAAATTTCTAGAACATATAAGGAGGGCACAGGGCAGGAGGAAGCTTATGGGAAATGTTTCAGAAAGTATTAAAACGTACGCCTAAACAGAGCAGATTGGTTACCATCTCGTGGTATGAAGTAATTAGAGGGGGGACCACTAGCATCGTTAAAAACTCCCCTGGAGCAATTGGCCTTCCCAGTTTGGATCCCTGCTCCAGTCCTTCTTCCCAGCGTTCCTTCCCTTGCCATTTTCCCCATCTGGGATCTTCCCTTTCTGGACCCTAAATAACCTACTGTGGTGCGTAGGACCCTTGGGATGTGATCTCCCTCCAAAGTCCTCATCTGGAGCCTCTTCCCTCTGGCTCTACATCCTTCCTTCTTTTTGTACTAGATTTGGTCCCTCCTCTGTCTCCCTAGCGTCCCAGGTTGCAGATGCTTCCTACGGCTCTGAGGGATCTTTACTGAAGACCAAGTGCTGTGAAGGAGGCTGAAATGAAAGCAGGGCAAACTTCTCAGGAGGGCATTTCACAAAGCTCAGGTCCCCTCCTGTTACTGCCCTAAGACGTTCACCTGTCCAGGTGCGCTGAGATCAGTGTGAGGAGGTAGACCAGATGATCTCCAGAGATGCCTCCAAAGCCTGAAAATCGCTTGGCTCGGGAAGGAGACAAGAGGGGGAGGGACACAAGCAAGTTGCATGGCAGAAATTCAGAACTTGTAAGCTGGGAGCAGATGGAAAGAAAAGTGCCAACTTCTAGTAGGAGGAGATGTAATGCATGCGTTTCTCCGGGCTCTTGAAAGCCTCAGGTCTCCTATTCCAAAGAACCAAGTGAACGCTGCCTGAGGAGCACCTCCCTGTGCACAGACACATCACAGGTCTCCAGGCACAAGAGAGAAGTCCAGAAAGAAACCTGGCCAAATTAAAGTTCTCAGACCCTTCCCTTCCAAGCCAAGGCCTCCCCATAGCCTACCCCACACCTAGGCAAACCCTGCCCAAAGGGCAATTGTCAATCCAAAGCCCCCTCCCTCATTTTCCCCTGGGAAAATCCCTACCTGCTCAGTGAGACGTAAGAGAGAAGAATAACGGAATTAACACCCCAGGGAAACAATGTCCAGTGGTCTAGATACAGGTGGAACAGCCAAAGGAGGAACCCAAAGGAGGCCCTGTATCTCCTCCTGGCCTCAGACGCCGCTGTGCTGTGTGTCAGTGTTTATGAAATGCTTCTCAAATAAGGTCAGTATTCTACACAGAGTTAGGACTCTAATAAAATGCAGAACTTGTGCTGTTTGCCAGCTAGCTGCGGAGGCATACTTGAATGCTTTCTTGGATACAATTGTTCTCAGATTAATATTTTCTTTTTTTAATTTCACTTCTACTATTTTTTTTTAAATGATATGTGAGTTTTCCTACGTATCTGTACCCGCTAAAAGGGATGAGCGGGGCTTGCTTTCATCAGTGGTTCCTGAGGGCTTGGTGTCTCGTTCTCCATTGTTCTAGCATTTCGCCCCCACCCTATAAGTCTCTCTGAACCCAGCACAGTGGCCTCCGCCTTGTCAGGCATTTGTGGGAAGGGACAGCTCAGACTGATTTTCATATTATTTTGAGTTGTTCTACTATGAGGACATTTCACTTGCTTTATTCATCATTGTTCCTGGCACATAGTAGGCACTCTATAAATGGCTCCTTTCAATGACTCCATCCTTCCCGGGGCCCCTTTTTTGGTCTGACTGTCATGTACGCTGCCACTTCTTAATCACCCAGTTAGGCAAAAAGTCCTCTAAACTCCACCTTGTTGGGTTGCTGACAGGCCTGGTGTGAGGCTATATCTGCATCTGTAAAAGGTGCGTCTTGATAAGTGGGAAAAAACAAAAAGGAAAAATCCCCCGAGTAAGAGTTCCAGGACATGGGCGACTCCAAGCAAGGCGCTGGAGCTCACCCAGTTTCCTCATCGGTAAATGCACGATTCGAAGATGAATCCTGATCATCCTTCAGATACAGGATTTAGTGGTTAAAATCAGACAGGGTGGGTGGACTCATTAAGGTACTTGCATAGCACTAAACTCAGGAGGCATTTGCAGACATCTGATCTCATTTAAACCCTGCATCAGCCCCATGAGAGAAGTGTTATTCCTACCATTCTAAAGGTTACATATGAGACAACTAAGACTTGGAAAGATCCTCCTACATGGTCGTGCAGTTTAAAAAAATGATGGAAACCAGGATTCCGCCTAGGTCTTTTTACTCATTTAAGGTCACATCCAATAGAACTCCCCATTGGCTTCTCACTAATAGCACTCAGAAACTCCATTTACAAAATACTTTTCTACCTACATTAGAGAGCTGGGCAGATGGGGAGGAGAAAAAAAGAATGTCAGAGGGGCCAGCTCGGTGGCAGAGTGGTTAAAGTTCGTACACTCTGCTTTGGCAGCCTGGGGTTCACAGGTTTGGATTTCTAGCACAGACCTACACACCGCTCATCAAGCCATGCTGTGGTGGCATCCCACATACAAAATAGAGGGAAATCGGCACAGAGGTTAACTCAGGGCCAATCTTCCTTACCAAAAAGGAAAAAAAAAAAAAAGAATAAAAAGAATGTCCAGAAAGTGCTAGGCAGTCCAGAAACTTCTGCAACACATTTCTGAGCAGGACAGCTCTCCAATGAAACTGACATTGCTGAGCATTTCAATCACAGAACAATCTGCTCTATTCTCTGCTTGGGTTGCAGGGAGCACAGGAGCACATTGTAAGTAATTCATCATTCACAGAGTCCAGCCCCAGAACACCCCTACCTATGATCCTAGGCATCATAAAAGGCTTCAGATGGCCATGAAGAGGAAGTCTGAGGTTGTTTCCAGGACACGGCCATGGGTTGGGAGTCTCCAGTCTCCAATGAAGGTCCAGGCCACAGAGAGCCTCCTGAAATCCAATCTCAGGACCTGAGGCTTAGATGGTGGAAGTCCAAATTCAGTACTGAGGCTACAGAGAGTTACGTGGAGGGCAGGAGACGGCAAGAAGCCAAGCTGGAAGGGTCAAGGCAGGAGCCAGGTGCAGCTCAGGCTCAGGGAGAGATGTCCAAGTCTACAGTCAAGTTCACAAACCTCACAGAAGAAGAGGACCATGGACTCCACACCATGCAGACCAGCCCCAGTCAGGGCATATACTAATTCTAGAGGGCAGGGGAGCAAGGAGTGGGTACGCTGGGCAGCAGACAGGAACTAGGGAGGCCAAAAAACTCGAGGGAGTCAAGGTGGGTGGTTAAATGTGCTGGCAGACTTTCAGGAATCACAGTCCACAATGCTGCCAAATGCAGAATGAATCAGGGGTCAGGAACCCAGACCGGTGTTTCGGACAAGAGAAGAGGAGTCTGAGCCCACACAGGCAGTGAGAAGGCCCCAGAAAGTGAAGTCACGGCCACTCCAGCCAGGATGCATCTTATATGCATCCTGTTCTAGAAGGACCTGCTCTCAGGGTAGGGATCAGGGCTGAGAGAAGGTGAGTAGTACATTTAACTGGAAAGGAAACTCTCTCTGCCAAAATGTCAGCAGATACTCGTGAGGGAAAATACTAGTCAAGAAGACCCATCAGAACTGTTCTTGGATGGTTTATCCCTTCAAATTCAAAATAAAAACAATAATCAGCCACATAACCCTGGTGATAGTTTTCCTAAGACTTGACCTACTGGATTCGGTTCTAAACACCTCTGTTTGATGAAACTTCCTAAAACACAGGTCCTATCATTTTCTATTGGGCTCTGGGTCTCATAGGTTCCATGTAACCATGAACTTCTGCAAATCTGTATCCCATTCTCATTACCACCTATGGGAACCCTACTCATCCTCAAGCTCCAATCTGAATGCCACCTACTCCCCTAACTGGACATGGCTGTTTGGCCAGGCGTCCAGAACATAGCTCTGGCATTCCTCCCGGGGTGCCTTCCATTGAACAGGTGTTCCCTGATTCAACTGGAACTCAGTGAGGTTTTCTGTTTTTTTATTTCTTCTGGTTGTACTCTGAGAACTGGGTTTGGAAGACAGAG